TGTCTGTCTGTCTGTCTGTCTGTCTGTTTCTCTCTCCCTTGCCCTCTCTCTCCCTCGCTTGATCCCTCCCTCTCTTTCTTTTCTATGCTGGGGATTGAACCCAAGGCTTAACACATGCCACACATATGGTTTACTACTGAGCTACACCCCCAGTCAATTCTGTATTTCTAATCAGCACTTGAGTAATGATGGTGTCACTGGTCTGCAGACGGCTCTTTTCTAAAAAGCTAATTAATTCCTTTTTAATTAACGAATAAAACGTGTATGTATTCAGTGCGTACAACATGATGTTTTGAAATATGCATACATTGTAGAATGGCTAAATCGAGCTAATTAACACACACATTACCTCATATAGCATATTTTGTGGTGAGAACACAATGTACTGGCTTACATTTTCAAGAATATGATACATTGTTACTAACTACTGTCACATTGCTGTACCACAGAATTTGAATTGATTCATCCTATCTAAGCAACATACTTTGCCCTCCCTTCCCTCTGGAAAATAGATTTTTAGAGATTTTGCTTTTTACTTCTATGCTATAGGTGACTAGTGAGGCCCCAGCAGAGTGGCTGCTACCTTTTTGGGAACTCCATTAGCTGTCTGACACGTTGACAGCTTGAAACTGGTAATAATACGAGTTTTCACACTTCGGACACCCACAAATTAGGTCATTCTTGCTTCCCTTTGGAGAGCTGCTTATTAAATGTTAGTGACAAGGTATTGCTAACCGTATGTGACAGCGGGCCGTGCGCACAACGGACTTCGGTGGTCGGGTTAGGAAGCAAGTTTCGAGCCAGGCTCACTTATGGCACCAGCCCCGTTGCCTTCTCACGTAAAGTGCCGGCTGGAAGGCATCCAGCACCTGACTCTTCTCTGTACCAGAGTGCCCGACAGAGGCAAATGCTCAGTGTCACTCTGCTTGTCTGTCTTTTGAGCCACCAGGAGAGGCAGCGTTGTGGGAAGCAAGGGACAGACGTTGGATGGGCAAAGGGTGACTTCCTGGGACCCCGTCCCTGCCCCCATGGCTCTGCACTTCCCTGGGCAGGGCTGCTTTGGTACAGGTGGGCCATGTTGTGCTACCAGCCTGATGCTTTATCTCCAGTTAGAAATGTGAAAAGTGATGCTCAACAACAAACAAGGAAACTGGCTAACTTCCGTGATACCTACTTTAATGACTGGCCTTTAAAATTGGAGGCACATTAAAAAAAAAATTTACTATGGTCAAAGACAACAAAATGAATCCTTTTTGGTGACAAGAAGTTTGAGGAAGGAAGTGAAATCCCTTTACAGAAAAAAAGGGAGTCTCCTATTTTCTGACCCCTGGGTCATGCAGTTTTAATTTCTTTTCTTTTTTTTTTTTAATTCTTTTTAATTTCACAAGCCTCCTTATGGCCAACAAAGACTCTGCTGAACCTCTTAGCTGTCTGGCAGATGAACCACTGCCAGTTCTGCTCAGGTTGCTGCATCTATGCCAGGCTGGAGCGCCACCACCGGACTGAATGCACCTTCAGAACGGCCTCCTGGACAATGCTGAGGTGACCTGGGGGCACCTGAGGTGGTGGCAGAGGAAGCTGATCCAGGGCCTCCCTGGTCCTTGGAAGAGGAAGGCTCCTGGGAGCAAGTCCAGCTGCACTAGGCTCGACTCTTGGGAGCTGTGGCTCACCAGGACTCCTAACACGCAGGGCAAGGCTGTGCCACAGGCAAGGTTCAGAAAAGGAGAAGCTTCGGTCCTCCGGTCAGCCCAGGAGACTGGCTCACAGCCCAGAAGTGGCTCAGCAGGTCCTCATGGCTGCATCCGGGTGGGAGAACGATGGTTGGAGATGTACTATCCTTGACTTTGGGGTGGGAGGGAGGACAGGGCTGGCGTGGTCCTGCTGTACCTGTGCATGTGTGAGCACAGTGGTGCGGGACCCAAGCTTCTTACCACTTCTGACACCCATAGCTTTCTTTCCAGGAGAAAGGGAATTTACAGAGGGCCAGTTCTCAGCAATGGCCATCTCCCAGGGCCTGATAAGGCACTGCACTATCTCTAGCCAAACTCTTCTCTTCCTGCTTTGTATCCATTGATTCCATTCCGAGCATTTGCCAGTGACATGAAGGCAGTTGGGCTGGCCAAGAAGCCAACTAACAGTAGCACTGGCCTGGGGCAGGGGAAGGACAGAGGGCAAAGGCCTCTGAGTGCTAGGCCCGAGCACCTAAAGACCTGGAGGATCCGCAGCTCAGTGAGACGATGTCAGGCACTCTTGGCTGGACCCAATGACTTAAAATCTTGCTGGGCCTGGTTAGGACCTGCTCCAGGGTTTTAAGTTTCTCCTTCCTGGGCTCCTGTCTCCAGGCAGACATGTGGGGCAGGGATGCAGCAATTCACAGCACAGAATACTAGTCTCAAAAGGACTCAGGCAAGCAAGAGAGGGAAGGATCTTAGCCAAGGACTGCTGAACACAAGAAAAAATTCCCACTGAGTTCGGAGAGCTGCAACACGGCTTGTTAGGGCAGGCAGAGATGTGAGGCTGGAGTGTTAGCACCAGCACTGATGGAGAGTGCTGAGGTGCTCTGGAGAAGGGAGAGGCGACCTGTATTATAGTCATATGGAGATGGAAGGAAGCGTGTCTCTCCTGAGTGTAGGAGAGTGTGTGTGCGCATGTGCGTGTGCTTTATATGGGGCTCATTCCTCTTCTAAGATGTTTTCTGATTGCCCTAAGTGTGCAGTGAGCCACTCCAGATCCCAGATGCTGGACTCCAAGACAGTACTCCGGGGCAAGATGCAGCACGAAAAAGACAGCTGGGGGCTGAGCCTGCCCTGCGTGCGCCAGCCCTGCTCCCTCTGGGGCTGGTGGCTCCACTGACACTTGCTCATTCATAACGCCTCAAGCAGCACTGAAGACCGTGTGCTGCCCCAGCACCGAGTTCCTAGCATTGCTGGAGAAGCTGGGCCTGCCTTCCCCAGGAGGTGTCCTCCTAGGGGAGATTCACATAATGCAGCTGTGATTCTTATTGCATTTTTTGTTTGCACTGTTCCATGTGAGAGGGGATGGCTCCCCTGGGTCTCCTAATACCACATGCTTCTAAGATGGACCACATACAGAATACACACACACACACACACACACACACACACACACACACACACACACACACCCTCTTGCCTTGCCAAAGAAGCTGCAAACCAACAGGTGCCAGTCAGTCACGACTAAGTCAGGCGAGAAGTTGAGTGACATTTTACCTGTTCCTGATCCCACGACGTCCCGGCTTGGTGACTCGGCCATGGCATCAGCAAGCCGCTCCCGGAGGCCCTCCTCTGTGTGCTCCATGGAGGACATGTGCCGCAGCCCGAAGCCCTCAGGCCAGCTCCCACACACCTCCAGCAGGGTCACACTCCGGTCAAAGGTACCTGTGGCACACAGGGGACAGCTGGCATTGAGTCCAGGCCTGCAGCACACAGGCCGCCCTCTTTGTCTGCACACCACCAATGTCCTTCCATGCATGCACAGAGCAGACTAGCTCATGCCCCAGATGTGAGTGTGAGGCCTTTCAGGATGGCCTCTGTGCCACCGCAGCAAGTGGATGCTGAGGAGTGACAGGTTCCTCGAGCCTCCAGGGCCTCTAACAAGAACTGGGACAACTGCTTACTTTGGCAGTGTGTATACCAAAAAGGAATTGGGATGATGGAGGGGGATCCAAACCCCTCTACTTTTTCCTATTTGATTCTACAGGCCTCCACCTAAAACGTCATTTAAAGAAGGGGTTGTGTTGCTTAAGTTTTACAAACAACTTTTAAACCATTGTCTTCTATTGCCTGCGTCTAATCTCTTCACTTCATAGTTGAAGTTCTAAGAGGTTATAGTTCCAGAGCAAGCACAGGTTTGCAGCAGACCTGCCGATGCCTTTGTCTAGAATGCGTTCGGCCCCACTACGGAGTGTCTCCCAGCTGCCCAGGGACACGGGCACCATTTCAGTTGTGCAACTGGGTGATAGCATCTCTAGTCAGGATCCTTCCTTAATTCAAAGCTGCGCCCCAACTCCAAAAAGTACACGGTGTTCTGCTAAATGCAAAGATTAGATTTTTACATTTAAGATCACTTCAAAGCTCAAAATTTAAATGATTCTCCAGCAAGTCTACTGTGAAAGCTTATTTCATCCACTCTCTCTGAAGGAGATTATTGTCATGCTCTGCTGCTTCAAGCACATACCATTTCCCCAGCGATTAGGTAACTGAATCCACTACATTTATTGGGCTTGGTTCCTGCCAGCACCAGGACGATGAGGAAAAAATGCAAATGCCAATGTTTCCCCAAGTTAAAAGTACATGAGACACACATTCTTTATCAGGCCTTGCTTCTCCTCTTTGATCAGCCGTCAGAAACTATCTTCCCTCAGCGGGCAGGACTGGAGAGTGTCAGGCACACTCTCTGCCACTGACAGGTGGTAATAGAGAGGGTGCGAGCCCCAGCCCCGGCAGGCGGCCCTGCCTCTGATAATGGCCAAAGCGTTGTGGTGATAACCGTTAGTAAACACGCAGACAGCCAGCGCCGCCATACATCAGCAAAGTGGGCCAGATAATCCTAAACTCTCCTAACCAGACAGAGGCCCTTGGCCGGCTTGCTGGGATTTATATGTGTGGCAAGGGTTGCTAGTGGCTTCTGAATTTCATCAGGCAACTTTGGCTTTGATTTATCTCTTACCTAATTGTAGGATGGATTCCTGGCACTGGCCACAAATGCACCTCCCCAAGAAAGTACCCGCCGTGGGTGTGCGTATCTGGGGACACGCTCGTCAGTCAGGGAGGATCCTAGCACAAGAGCTGCCCGTCCCACCTTCTCTCTCCAAGGAGGAAGGTTGGGACGTGGGTCTGGGAGCGGGTTGCAGGGGGCTGGGGTGGGGTGTTGAGTGTTTGCTGACTGGGCTGGAGTTGAGCTAGAGCCACACACTAAAATGTAAGGCCCGTAGCTGACACTCAATCAACATTAGCAAAGACTGCTGGGGCCCAGCTGCCTGAAGACACAGGCTAAGGACAGAAAAGGCTTTTTGTTCTATGCCTAATCATAAACAAGTCCCTCTATCTTGTTTTTCTACCTCCAAAGTGGAACGAACAACTCTTGTCCTGTCCCAAAGGAGCACGAGACTGAGCAACGTTCCCCAGCAGCCTGTGCTTCCGGCCAGTGTCCCCACAGTTCGACCTGACAAGCCTGAGAGCTACAGCCTTGTTTTCCCGAAGGGGCTGCCCGGGACACACACTTAATGACATCAGAGAGGGGATGACAAGAACACACGGTCTTTCCTCTCTGGACGCTGAGCTTCTGTACACTCAGGTTTCAGAGTCTGGAAAGCAGAGAGGGAGCCAGTGGCCTCTCCCTGCCCTGGAGCAGGTTGCCTGCCTCTTAAAGGGGATCGGTCGATGGTTTATGTGCAACATTTAGAGGTCAGGGCAGGGGAGCTGGCAGCAGGGCAAAGAGGAGTATCAGAAAGCAAGTGAGGAAGAAAGGAGACAGTTTTAGGAAATATTATAGCAGAAAGAGTTCTGACACGAGGCCCAGTCAACAATAGATGGTAAAGGCCAGACTAGTGTGTAATGCTTTAATGGACAGAACAACAGCATAAAGGTCAAAAGGATTGTGAGCTAGTGTAATAGTTGAGAATGGAAATAGATCTGGGCTTAAAGATCCTCTGACATCTGTTACCTGCCTGACTTGAGGCAGGAACCCGAACATGGAGAAACAACGCAACCTCAGAGGGTTACTGTCCAGGGATGGAGTCAGATAAATACAAAACCACCTGACGTGTACTGAGTGCTGTGGACCTAACAATGCTCACGTGTCCATGTTAATCACAAGTGTACCTAGCTTTATATCACCTGAAGCCACACGGTAAACTTGGACTCTTGTCATGATCCCAAGTGGTGGTGTAGGTACCACCTTTATTTAACTCCTCTACCTTATTTATGGGGCAGGAGCTGGGAGCTCAGTGAGATCAAGTGACGGTTCAGTCTCTAAGTGACAGATCTGGAACACGGGCTCTTAATTCTTAGCTTGGAGCCCATTCCATCAGCCCCCACCTGCATCCTTTGTATGGAGAAATTGTCTGTTTCTTTCCTAACTTGTTCTGAAAACTTCTGTCACCTTCAACCAGTGCCTTTCTTTTCTTTTTCTTTCTTTCTTTTTCTTTTTTTTTTTTTTTTTGCAGAACCGGGGAATGAACTCAGGCCCTTGCGCTTGCCAGGGAAGCGATTATTCCACTGAGCCATCTCCCCGGCCCCAACCAGATCCTTTCAAGCACCTTCCCACTCTCCCCTAGCCCAAGTCCCTTTCAGTGTCATGGTCTCCATGACGAGTCACCCTGTCTACTGAATGGCACATGGACAAGACATCTTGATAGACAGTCTAGCCTCTCTCTGCATGGGCATGGCTAGGAAGTGGAAACAACCAAGAGTGACCAGCCACAGGTAAGTGGATCATTTCTACTGTCTGGAGAAGTCCCAGTGATGGAAGAGTCAGTGGGCGTGCTCACTCTGCTAGAAAGCGGCCCACAGACACTCTGCAGCCCCCTCTTCCTGTCTTTCCCCTCCACCAGTGATAGCCCCTCGAAGGGAAGAGCACAGTCTGGCCTGCTCTGCAGTGAGCGCAGAGCTGCAGGTGCATGTGGGCCAGCAGGTGCCGTGGTGAAGAGGCCAAGCTCTTGGAGGGTGAGGTCACCCCTCAGCTTTTAGGAAACTACATGTCTGGTCAGTGCTGACAGCACAGCCATGGTTCATTTGGCCAGGTCAGAGATGTTCCCTCAGAAGGGGGTGGGGGTGGGGGTGTGACATCCTTACGTGGAAAGATGTGTTTCAGGGGAAGATGATGCTCAGCTCACACAAGCTGTCTGCACAGCACAGGGTCCACATGCTTAGCAACAAAGACCTTTCTCTGCAGCCGCACTGCTGTTTATAAAGCCCTCTCACGTTTACTGTCTCAGTTAACGCACACATTCATCAAATATTGATTAGTGTCCACTCTGATAGGAGTCAAGCACTGTACTAAGGGGTAGGGAAACAGTGTAAGGGGGGAAGGCAGAAGGGGAGGGAGAGAGACAGAGATCCTGGTCTTTCACAAAACTCCAGGAAGAAGGGAGCAGCAATTATCAGCATTTTATAGACTTGTACTTTATTGAGTTTAAGAGAGGAGAGGCGGCTGTTTCTAAAAGTCACCTACGGGAAAGCCTTCCCTTCAGGGCTGTCTCCTACCCGCCATTCTCTGAATGCCATTTTCCAAGACCTAGTTCAGGTCTGACCTGAACCTGAAACCTGGAGCAACTAACTACCCAAAGTGAGACAGGTGCCATGACGCAAACCTGGACAGCACAACGGGTTCTCTGCCTTTTGGAGTGAGGCTGATGAAAGCTATGTATTTACCCACAGAAATACGTGCTGTGCATGCACAAAATCATGCAAGCAATTTCAGGGTGCTGGTGGATAGTTCTGAAGCCCACCTGTGGGTGCAGGTTAATCTGAGGCCCCCTCGGGTCACCCCTATGGTCTTCTTCCCATACTGCTTCACAGTGTGCCAATGATGCCCCTTCCCAACTAGTGGAAGGCTTGGGTTCCTTCATAACTGAAAGAAGCATAGTGCTGTCTATAGCACAATTGCTTAAAGCAGACTTTGTTATTCATTATGACCATCTAAGAAAATTGACAGTCACTTTGGAGTCAGCATAATTTTCGTGGGGTACTAGAGACTGGACATCCAGGGCCAGAGTAGGAAGAAAATGGAATTAAGTAAGAGGACTGAGGACGGTAAGTGAGCAGACAACAAATTCACAATTTTACTCTACTGCTGTCTGGGTACTTATTTTAGGCCTGAGATCTCGGGAACTGGGTAAAACACCCTGCCTGAAGCGGCGCAGAGCGCTGGTCTCTCACAGGTGAGCATCCTGAGCCCTGTGTCCCACCTCGGCAGCTCCCCAGAGGAGGCTGGGTCAGGTTCTTGGGTTTCACAGACCCACTATAGGCATCCTGTGACAGCTGGTGAGCCGGCAGCTGCTGGGCAGGCTTGGGGAGCACGTGTTCGGCTTTTGTGTGCCGTTGTCAGAGGGGCCAGGAAGCTCGGGGTGGCAGCAGGGTGGGGCAGGCGGGATGTTCCTCTGCGCTGATAGCGTCTAATCACACCTTTGCTATGTCGCGGTCTGTGCCACAGCCTCTAGTTTGTGTCAATTACATTCAGACAGTGTTTGGACCCCGCTTAGAGCCTGTTGATCAGATTTTCAGCCACCAGAGAGGCCAGATACTGCAAGCAAAGGCTACACTAAACAATGCTCTCAAAACATAAGTCCTGCTAGGTGAGAGCTCATTGCAATAATGATGTCAAAATGCACTGGAAAGAAAGGCAGCCACTGGAGGATCTCCTTGCCCAGCCGAGA